GTAAAAATGTAATGTTCCCACTCCCAGACTAAAAAACACACATCCATCTTTGCCATGAACCCCCGCCCCCTGCATGAACTGGTTTGTTCCTGCTTGGAGCGCTTCAGAGTAACGCTGTTCAGCAGCAGATGAAACAAGCAGACGACTTGTTTCGTCGTCTAGTCGACGACGAAACAAGTCGTCAACTAGAAAACGACTTGTTTTCTAGTCGTTCTAGAAAACAAGAACGACTGTGGCAGTTACTATGCTGCTAAGAAAAGGTAGGACGGATTTGTGGGTAGCACAGATAAACAAAACACTGGGACTGTACACTTAATTTATCATTTACCTTTTAACTAGCAAGATACATACTCTGGTAGCACATGCAAGCTTACTAGCAGATTCTGATATATTTTATTGGTCAAAATACATTTGATTGTTGGTCAAAAATGCATTGATATAAGTTGACTGGCAATTGAACTAATTCTGTCTCTTTCTAAAGTAACAAACATAGTAAAATGGTACTCAGCAATGTTAAGCTCAGTATAGCAGTTTGACCAACAAATATAAAATCTAAAAAACAAGTTGTGTTCTTCTTGAACAACTTAGTACATCAGTGCAACAGTTTGCCCCACAAAAATAAATGAAAATGATAATTTCCACATCTAACTGATAACTCAGTAACAATAATTTGCCAAACATGAGCCATGACCCTCAAAGGGTTGAAAAACACAGACTGAAGAAAAAAAGCCTAAATGTTTTTTCTCCTATTATTTTCAGCCAGAAACATTTAATTAAAATATCTACTGTTATATGTTACTGTTACCTGCTGGTCTGCACCTATTTCTCCTTCACTCTGACTCTGATGTCCCTGCATGGCATTCATGTATTCACAACAAACATTACAATAATGTAGTGTCAGAATGTGAACCAGCTAAGTATAAAAATTTGTATCATACAGAATGAGAATTTTATCTGATTTGCAGATGTTAGGGTTTAGGGTTAGGGTTATAAACATATCAACTCTATTTACTGCGTAACCCAATTCTTATATCAAAAATTTTCATTCATGAGACTTCCGGGGATGCAGTGTAACTGAGCAGACGTGCCCGACCTGATATATCCGTTGATATGATATATATTAACGGATATATCATATTATCTGTTAATATGATATAAAAAAAAATAACGCTAAACCAAATCGTGGACTGGGTAAAGTCTAAAAGACAAGAAATGTGGAATGGATTCACAACTTCGAAACAAAGACCAAAAGAAAGATAAGGACAAAAAATCTGTTGCTAGCAAAGAAGTGGTAGCCAAGGCTAACTCCAGCCGAAGCGAGACTGACATGGTGGCTCGGGACATGGGTTCAACTCCGGATGAAGAGGGAGATACCCAGTTCGGGGGAGTACTTCCAAGTGTACTCAATTAAATACATGAATTAAATAAGAGTCTTTCAGAGAAAATTGAC